CCGCAGGGCTCAATATTAGGTCCTTTTCTATTTTTAGTTTATGTAAATGACCTGCCCCATATGTTCCAAAATGAACCGCATATGGTATTATTCGCTGATGACACTTCATTGATTTTTAAAATAAATAGACGAACAAACAAATATGACGAAGTTAATAATGCCTTAATGAAGGTTCAAAATTGGTTTACAATAAACAACTTATTACTAAATGATAAAAAGACTAAATGCATTAGATTTATTTTACCAAATGTTAAAAATAACGTATGTGATGATATATTATTAAATGATCAGAAACTAGAATTTGTAAAAGAGACTACTTTCCTGGGGATCACTGTAGATGAGAAGTTGCAATGGGGGCCCCACATCAGGTCTCTAGCAGGACGATTGAGCTCTGCAGCTTATGCTGTCTGGAAGATCCGTCAGCTAACCGATGTCGGCACGGCAAGACTAGTGTACTTTAGCTACTTTCACAGCATCATGTCGTATGGAATTCTGTTGTGGGGACAGGCATCTGACGTTGAGTCTATCTTTATCTTGCAAAAGCGTGCCGTCAGAGCTATATATAACTTAGGTCGTCGCGAATCTCTCAGAGAAAAGTTTAAAGAGATCAACATTCTGACCGTACCGAGTCAATTTATTTATGAAAACATTATGTATGTTAGGAAAAACCTACACTTATTTGTAAAGGTATCTGACAAACATGATTATCATACTAGACATAGGAATAGATTGAGTCAGCCTTTATTTAGATTGGCAAAAGTGCATAAGTCATTCCTGGGTTTCTGTGTTAAATGTTATAATAAAATCCCAGTTGAAATTCAAAATTTAAATGAAAGCAAATTTAAATTATGTATAAAGAAACATTTATGTAAACTAGCATACTACAAACTAAATGATTATATACAAGATAAAAATGCTTGGAGGCTAGCTGGTCCTACTCCACAGGATGTTTAGAGTATTATTTTTTTTTTTTAATTATTCAATTGTACACTATGTTGTTAATTGTTGATGAACTTCTAAGATTTTGTAAATGTGAGTGCCCTGTAACCTATTATAATTAAGTAAGACTTGTAGAATATAGGTACTTGTGTCGGCTGGGAGCTGTCATGCTCACTCAGAGGTCTCATTGGCGGTGGCACGGGCACTGGATCGTCCAATTCCCTATAATATGGTTGAGTTGGGCGGTGCTGGTGTACGTGTCATGTTCGTGAACGGGCGCCGCCTATTGGGACTGGTCATCTCCAGGCTGTCTAAATATGTTGTCCTTGAGGTTCACTTCTTTTTCGTACTTTTTGCCTGAACATTAGTGTTACATTGTTCTCACATATCAGAACCGACTAAATGATGTAACAAAGAAATGTATTGTAAAACTGATTGAAAAAGAGTAACCATGGAGTTTCTTGCTCGTTCTTCTCCATAGGAATCTACACTTTGGAACGAGCAAATAGCTTCACTAGAGGACAGACGGACAGACTGACACGCTTAATTTTAAAGCTCTTGTTATATATACTTTTTTGCCTTTTTTGCTTGCTTGACGTTCAAAAGTGCCTACTGTGGTCTAATTGAAATAAATGATTTTTGACTTTGACTTTGACTTGTTATGTTTTAGATAAAATGTGGTTTGCAATAAAGCGATTGCATTCAGCAGTGCTATTCTAAAAGTTCATTTTCGACACTGGCAACATAATTTAGACATTTAAAAATAGGTAGGTATTTTAAAACGGAGACTACTTGATTTTCGGAAGAAACCATTTTTAGAATTGCTCTGCACGGCTATCATTTCTGACTCGTAAAGATCATATACATGAAGATAATATAAACGATTTCAATCCCTATTTCCAAATCCTTTATTCACCTAAATACAAATAAATAGTTAAAATACTACATTTAAATTAATATTACTAATACCACGTACAACCAAATCAAAGACAAACTCAGACACATTTATTTACTTAGCAAACTTAATCTCCCAAAACAATATTAGAAAGCCTATGTTACTTTTGGCAAGGAGTCCGTGACTCATCAAAATATAATTTTATTACTGTTTACACAACCCTCGTAGTATTCGTGTGAAAGAGACATGAAACGACGACGATGAAGCTAGAGACCTAGTCTTAGAGTATACAACACTGTTTCAAGTTTTAATACTGTTACTTAATATAGAATAAGCAATATTTATAATATATACTTGACAATATGTACATATCCTTGAAGATTTTTCTATTTTGATATTTTTTTTCATAAATATTTGTGACACTGTTCTCATATAATGTACCAAAGAATCTTTATGTGAAACTGATTTAAAAAGATAAAAGATAAAAGATAAAAGATAAAAGATAAAAGATAAAAGATAAAAGATAAAAGATAAAAGATAAAAGATAAAAGATAAAAGATAAAAGATAAAAGATAAAAGATAAAAGATAAAAGATAAAAGATAAAAGATAAAAGATAAAAGATAAAAGATAAAAGATAAAAGATAAAAGATAAAAGATAAAAGATAAAAGATAAAAGATAAAAGATAAAAGATAAAAGATAAAAGATAAAAGATAAAAGATAAAAGATAAAAGATAAAAGATAAAAGATAAAAGATAAAAGATAAAAGATAAAAGATAAAAGATAAAAGATAAAAGATAAAAGATAAAAGATAAAAGATAAAAGATAAAAGATAAAAGATAAAAGATAAAAGATAAAAGATAAAAGATAAAAGATAAAAGATAAAGATAAAAGATAAAAGATAAAAGATAAAAGATAAAAGATAAAAGATAAAAGATAAAAGATAAAAGATAAAAGATAAAAGATAAAAGATAAAAGATAAAAGATAAAAGATAAAAGATAAAAGATAAAAGATTGGAAGGCAACTGCAGAGGCCCTTTAGACAACTTTAATCTAAATGAAATGGGACACACAGCGCAAGGACGACAAGCGAGCAGCAGGACAACTGCAACACCAGAGGGGGTGTGAATGTGTTGCTGGCCTTTTTTAAGTAGATTTAGGGATTGGGTAAGGTTGGGGATAGGGGAAGGTTATAATCTCCAGTGACCTCATTCACACGGCGAAATACAACGCTGTGCCAAAGCTAGACTCTCCCATACTGTATACATTGCTCATATTGTTCGTATGTTTGTTTTTGCGTGTGCAATGATGCGACCCGCCGCTGCAATGTACGACAAACGCACAACACGCCACGTGTGCGTAAACGAGTCCTTGTGGTCACAATGATAGCTTTATGATGTCGGGTGAAACGAGACCCACATAGCTAGGGTTGTCACGTAACACAAACATTGTTTTCCCTGCATTTTATGTGGCCCACACCTATGTACAGTCCGCTATTCATTTTCCACATAAATAGGGTTATGTTTTTGGTGCCAAGTGTAACTAATAAATTATGATGTTTGGAATTAATTTAAGTAGAAGTTGAGTAGTAGACTCAAAGTTCAAGACTCACCTTTTACACTCATAACTTTAACGAATTTTCTGAATTTACTAAGTAGTACTAGCTACCTAATTAGTACTAAGTATAAATATGTGTCATAACAAAACGTCAAAGAAAAAAAGGCAGAATGTTTGAAAAGGTTCATAAACATCGGATCTATTCATGAAAATGGATTTGCCGAGAATTCCCATTTTATTATTATGTATCTTTAAGGATGTCGCGAAACACACATACCAACTTTAGCAAATAACTAATATACATAAGTACTTACATGTAGGCTTAAATTTCTCCAGATTAAATCGAAACGAATGTTAGTAATCCAAATCGTTTCGTAATCGTAAATTTGCAGGAGGGATTTTAAATAAAATTCTTTTCTCGCTCGCAAATTCGATTTACATTGTGACGAATGAGGAAGTAGCCTTAATGTATTCTTAACGATATGCATTAGGTATACAACTCGGTACATTATTTTCTGTTACTGCACCAATCTGGTTTAACGACAACAATGTCAAACAAAACAATTTCCCTAGAAATAGTAGGTACTTACGGTATTACAGAATGTCTGCACTATATTTTAAGGGATATTCTTCGATATGTTTTAATTCTCCCCAAAAAATAATGTGTCTGTGTGACATTCTTTTTGCATCAACATACATACTTGTGCTAAATGCTTATGTTGGTACTAAATATGAATTTCGAAAAATGGCTCGATCTATGTAGACCTTGTAAATAGATGTAGGTTACCTAAATTTAGAAGAAATCATATTTTTTATGAGTTAAAGACGTGTTCAAAACTGCTATGTACTGAATGTATTTTAAGGTTGTTTCAGTCAGTTTTAAAAGTAAAATTGGATGGAGACTATGTAATACAACACCTTAATACTTCATACAGTCTCCAAAAGCAGGTCAGAAAGCGAAAATATTATTTATGTATAATATCAATAATGACCAAAATTAGAAGTTTGAAAACCAATTTTCCAAAGAGGCAACGATTAACTAAATAGCTATACAAAATTGTTAAGCCAAAGGAACAACTCAGTCACTGCCGTCTTTAATGTTTTCCACAGTTTTGTGTACTTTTACCCAGATTGAAGAGAGAACGTTCAATGAATCATTATAAGGTGGAATATTGTCAAGAATATTAATTACCACATTGCTGAGCTATCTTTTAGCGCAACGGGCGCTTCAATGTGTCCTTCTAAAATAATTAAATTTACTCTTCCACTATTAATAATAATTAGATCCTTGGAGTAAGAGTATTTTAATTGGAGTTTTACTAAGTATTTTTAAAAAGCAAACATTTTGTTTACAAATTCTTTGTGTTATTGTAGTTTCAAGAATATATAATGTACTAAGGAATAGATGTACTTCCGATTTTTATTTCTCTGTCTTTATTCCAGTTTAGCCGTAGTTTTGGAGGATATTCAAAAAGTTTAACAATGTAATGACTGAACTAATATTCTGTTCTATCATCAGGTTTTTTTTTTTGTGAGGGGAAAATCATCAAATGACTTCTCCCGCCCAGGGCCGGGCAGGAGGGAGTGTCAGACTCTTACTGACTAAAAACCCCCCTGTTCCTTCTCCTGCTCTGTGCCGAGGTCGCGGTACCTCATTGCGCTTACCCCGCAACCCCGGCTGAACATCAGCCCTTTAGGGCCCCGTCTGTGGTGGTCGAATGGCTCTTTGAGGCGCGCGCGTAACGCTACGCGCCGTACGCTCGGGCCTGGTTCTGGTCGGGCGGCGAGCTGCCCTTACTCGCCGACCGCAGGCCCGTACTTACGGTGGCCGGAGATCGTCCCTCGATCCCCGACGCCCGTAGTGTCGCCAGTTGCGGCTGCTGGGGCGTGAGGAGGAGAATTGCTCCCTCACGCGGGCCGCCTCTCTCTTTGCGAGCATGACTGCTTCACAAAAGGAGGAGACGGCGTCCCAGTTCCTCTCACTCCGCACCATGGCCTCGACTAAGGCCGGGCGCGAGAGGTCGCCGCCGCCGATCACTTCCCTGAGGATACGGCGGTGCTCAGCCCAGGCAGGGCATACCGCTACCGTATGCTCCACCGTATCCTCTAGGTGGTCCTCACAATGACGACACTCGGGCGTTTCCTCCCGCTGAATCCGAAACAGGAACCTACCGAAGCTGCCGTGCCCGGTAAGCACCTGCGTCAGACGGAAGGTGAGGACGCCGTGGCGTCTCTCAAGCCACTCCTCAAAGAGGGGTCTTACCGCTGCTATGGTAGCGTGCCCGTCTATCATCAGGTGGTTCTTTATTACAAACGCTTTGTTTGTTTGCTGTCCTTTCAGAAATTTTTACAATACCACTTTACCTACATCAGCCCTGTTACAATGGGCCCAACATGTTGACAGATCGACTCTACTCTAACATCCTACAATTAAAAATTAAACATTTTTTTACTCACCCAAAACTATCCAGATGACCAAAGTATTTCCCAGAACAGCCAGCAGCAACATGATGGCGAATACCATGAACCAGGCAAGCTGCACCCACCATGGTGGACTGAATGGTCTTTCGCCCAAACCCATACAGTTCCCAAGAGTGATTCTGGAAAGAAGGAAAGAATATTCTCATGATAAGGTATTTACTTACACAACTTTAAATGACTGATAAAATACAATCTTAAAACCATTTACGACCCAAACAGTCGTCACAAGTAGACAGAAGATCCGAAAAATTCGCAAAACCAAAACCGTTTTAGGTCGTGAAAGAATCGAATTCTGTGCGATATCTAATCTAATAAATTATTGTTAATATCGAGAGCAACCTAGGAAAATTGAGCAAAATAGCCATAAAACATGCCCTAAATATTAATAATTGCGGTCACTGTATGGCCAATAGGCATATTCTATATTACTAGAAACATAAAATCGTAAAACAATCTAGTTAAAAGTGGAGTATAATAAAAGAAACCGTACAATTATTATGTCTATTTCATAATGACATCACCCCACACTGAAAACCTATCATTTATTTCGTCGCAACATGACTCATTGACAATTATAAAGCCATATAACGACACCAAAATAACATTGAATATGTAAATTTCTCGAAAGTACATCAAACAATAAATCATATATCTAATTGTTCTATGGTAACATGCATGTTTTGAAAAAACAAACGAATATTATTAGTCATACAACGGAATCATTAATTTTCACAGGGTGCGTTCTTTCTAGGGAATATTTTCTCGCCATTGTTTTATGGAGTTACTTTAAGGCGTTTTTATAGAAAATGCGTTACGCAAACTAAAGATTAGGGGATTTTTGTTTGATTGTTTGTAAAAATAATCTGTATGTGAAAATGATTTAAAAAGAGTAACCATGGAGTTTCTTGCTCGATCTTCTCCATCGGAATCTATACTTTGGAACGAGCAAATAGCTTCACTAAGAGGACTGACCGACAGACTGACACTATATCTCCAAAATTTTGTTTGACGTTCCAAAGTGCCTAAAGGAGTAAAGGTCTAATTGGAATAAATGATTTTTGACTTTTGACTTTTTGATTGCTTGTGGTCTACATGCAAAATGTCATGTTTGTATATCAAGTATACTAATATTGTAAACGTGAAAGTTTGTAAATATGGAAGGATGGATGGTTGTTACATTTTCAAGAAAACAACAATGAACGAACCTAAATAAAATGTGTATGGAGATAGATTGGAGGAGATAGGATCCCATAATATGGTTGAGTTGTACGTGTCATGTTCGTGAACGGGCACCGCCTATTGGGACTGGTATTCTCCAGGCTGTCTAAATATGTTGTCCTTGAGTTAACTTCTTTTTCGGATTCTTTGCCTAAACATTAGTGTTAAACTGTTCTCACATACCAGAACCGACTAAATGATGTCACAAAGAAATTAATTGTAAAACCGATTGAAAAAGAGTAACCATGGAGTTTCTTGCTCGTTCTTCTCCATAGAAATCTACACTGTGGAACGAGCAAATAGCTTCACTAGAGGACAGATGGACAGACTGACACGCCTAAAGTCAAAGAAATCTTGAAATATGTTTTGCTTGACTTTCAAAAGTGCCTACTGTGATCTAAATGAAATAAATGATTTTGACTTTGGCTTTGATTATAGTATGAGAAAATACATAGGCTTATTTTTGCCCTGGCCTACAAGCCTAGCCTCTGGCAAAAGTTAGTACTTATACTTGTATATGTTTCCTGTAGGATTCGTATAATAGAGCTATAAATCGCTCTGTCGAAGTATCAACGGTGCAGTCTATAAATTTTAACGGCAGCAAAGTGTACAAAGATAAAAATATTTATGAACTGACACGAAGAAAAATATCAAAGAAAACACTTTATGGAAAGTAAACTATTATTTCATATACTCGCCATTACCTACGGCGATCCACGCATCCCATTTAGTGAATGGGCTTACGTGAATGTGCAATTACAGATACCTTCTACAAAAATAGTTCATAAAGAATTTATAATACGGTTTCTTTTCGAGAAACCAAAAGATATTGTTGTAGCGGAATTTTGTATTCAGTTTATATTAAATACTCGGTAGTTTTGAGAGCACTTCTTATTATATTTGGTACGAATAGTTTCGTACAAATGTAGCATATGAATAAATATTGTTAGGACACCTGCCATATTTTAAGAGGGCATTACATACAAAAAGTGATGTTTTTTTATTTCTTAAGATACTAGGTACTGTCTTGTCTTATTTGAGTTAAATGGACAATTACGATGCCGTCACGTTATAAAATAAAAATAGATATAATTAAAAAAGAAAAAAATATCATTCCATTTTTTTTAAAGTAACCATTAGTAAAGGTTTCAGGTACATATGTAACTTAAATAAATTTGATTTATAGTATGGTAATGCCTGTAGTAAAACACTAGAAGATACGATAAAGTTGCGTTATAACAGCTCTCTACAGGCGGATTATGTAAATATTTGTTAGAATCTTGTCAGCTATAAACCCTTAAGTCTCCACAACTGTTTTAGAGCTCACCGAAGTCTAATCACAAAATACATATCTTTATAATTTAGATTCTATGCTATAAATTAAAGCAGTCCTCAACCATTGACTCTATTCTACAAAGATATTTAGGTCATTTTAAAATTTGTATAGTGCACTTGCATTTTTGACCCCTGACTGTACATATCAATTAGTCAAATTATCATAAATGTCAAAGCAAAAGAAAACAATTTTTGTTTCTTGATTCCTTAACGAAAATATAAAATGTTTCTCTGTCTTCATTTTCCAATTCAAAACAAAAATTGTCAACCAGGAAATACGAGGCCAAACAAAACTAATTAAACTTTTAAAATACTCTCTTAATAAGCACAATGTTCAAGTTCATAACACCATCGTGAACAATCATAAAGTTTCGAGATTTCGTTTGAATGAATTATACAAAATTTATACAAAAATACGTCGACGATTCATAATAATTGTATTTCGAACAATTTCGCAGGTTAAGCCTGGATCAAGTTTTGTATCAGCGACGACGGGTATAAACAGATTAACCTGGGATAACAATCTACTTAATGTCAAGCGATTCTCAAGAGATTTCAACAAATTACTGCAAGAATAAATTAGGTTTTTTTGAGAGGGGAAAATCACCAAACTTCTTTCGGGTAAGGCGGGAGAGGGATACAGAGTCTTAATGACGAAATACCACTCCCTTCCTTCATCTGCACCAAGCATAGGCTTCGGTCTCCCGAGAGGTCCTCATCTATACTAATATAATAAAGACGTAAAATTTGTAAGTTTTATTTGGAACCGCTGGTCGGATTGCCAAAAATCTTTCAAAAATAGCTACAATGTACCACGCTACGATTAAATGGAGCCGAGCAGCGAGTAAAACCGCGCGAGAGTAATTAGTAACAACGATATAGACGCGTTTCGAAACAGGTCCCTACCGAAGGTTTAATGTCCGGCAAATACCAAATTAAGTGCAGTCAAGAAAAACAAAACATTTTTTTTCAACCAAGCTTTTTGATACGATATCAATAAGACAGATTGCCTCGATAAACCAGGCATATCGCTTTTGTGTAGTTATTTAATGGCTAACTCTCTATACAAAAGGCTTTGTTAAAACGTGAAGAAGTAAATAATCAATCGTAAATTCTCGTCAGCTGGGTTCCGAGAAAGTAAAGCCGTAGGTTAGCCTTCGTTACTTAGGTATATCAGATAGATCGCCCGCCATTAACCCAACTTAGTTTTATGAACCTTTTTACTCTCTCACTAGCTTTGTATTATAGAGAAAACTCGAGGTCTTTCACGTAATTGGTTTTATGAAACAGTAAAGAAGTGTTGGTTGATGATTCTAACATAATAGAAGTCTTCAAGTGTCTTCAAGGCTAATAAACTAGTGCGACTAATCATCACATTCTAAATTTAACCCTTAATAAAAATACGAAAGAACCCTTTCTTATTAACACACGCGCCTGGAAGAACCCTCCCAAAAAAAAAACATTCAACTCTGTTTTTAATACATTACATTCATTATTAAAACGCAACCTAAATGTTGGTAGGTATAATTTATGGCTGTTTTTCGCAAGCAAAACATTCCACCTCTCTAATGTAGAAATAAGCTTTCCTTATGTTTCCTTATAATTCTGTCGAAGGAAAATACTCTTTATTATTAGGAAAATGTGTCGTAATGTATATCGTTATGTGCTTAACGTTATTTCATTTACTTAAAGGAATAGATATAAGCTCAAACAATATGCATATTATCGGCTTTTCTCCGCTGTTCAATTTGAATCCTTAAGGAAACCAGTGAATACTGCAGCGGTCAGAGTCTTTTAATGTTTTTCATGGTATTACTTGATATAGGTACGAGCATTTGCATCACCTGATGATAAGCAATTGGCGCCGTCAATGAATATGGAACACTAGACGAGTTGCAAATGCGTTGCGTGAATTATGAGGATAAGGGGTTTTGGGGGATTCAAGTATTGGGAATGGATCCCTATCTTTTCTCAATACTTGATTTGAGGATAGAAAGGAGAAGATTGGGCCTTCGTTAACCATACTAACACAGGGTAACACAAGGCTCAGCCGGGGTTACGGGTCAAACGCAATGAGTCACCGCGGCCTCGGCCCAGAGCAGGAGAAGGGACGGAGGTTTTTAGTCAGTAAGAGTCTGACAATCTCTCTCGCCTTACCCTGGGCGGGAAAAGTCAGTTGATGATTCTCATGACAAAAATAAAAGGGTCACACAAAGCTGCAAAATTGTTTCACACCCGGTGTGAAATAATTGCGGTTGTGGTATCACTCCTGTCGAACCAACCTATTCGTGCTGAAGCATGGCTCTCCAACACTGAATATACTTCTGACATTTATTATTGTTATCTAGCGTTTTTTCTCATATCATGTAACACTTGCTGTTTGGGTACATCCCTGTGTATACAATCGGCCTAGATACTCACTCACTTTTTCTATATACTCACTCACTATACATTAAAAACAAAATTAAAATGAACTGTTACAAAAAACAATCAAAATTTAATAAATTGACCAATACATCAAATGTATTTTCATCGCGTAATTGAGTAGAACATGCGAAGTTAATAA